TGGTTAGCTCTGTTCTCTTCTCTCTCTCTTCTCTCTCTTCTCTCTCTCTCTCTCTGTGTGGCAGAGTGGTTAGCTCTGTTCTCTCTCTCTTCTCTCTGTTCTCTCTCTCTCTCTGTGTGTGGCAGAGTGGTTAGCTCTGTTCTCTCTCTCTTCTCTCTGTTCTCTCTCTCTCTCTCTCTCTCTGTGTGGCAGAGTGGTTAGCTCTGTTCTCTCTCTCTTCTCTCTGTTCTCTCTTCTCTCTCTCTCTGTGTGGCAGAGTGGTTAGCTCTGTTCTCTCTCTCTCTCTCTGTGTGGCAGAGTGGTTAGCTCTGTTCTCTCTCTCTTCTCTCTGTTCTCTCTCTCTCTCTCTCTGTGTGGCAGAGTGGTTAGCTCTGTTCTCTCTCTCTTCTCTCTGTTCTCTCTCTCTCTCTCTGTGTGGCAGAGTGGTTAGCTCTGTTCTCTCTCTCTCTCTCTCTCTCTTGTGTGGCAGAGTGGTTAGCTCTGTGCTCACAGCCGGAGGGTCTCAGTTTTCTCTCTTCTGTGGAGTTTGTCTCAAACATGTTTGTGCAGTGAAGTTCTGTCTCAGAGTCTCTAGAGTCAAGTCCAGTCTGGAGCAGATCTGGATTAGACACAGAAGAGGAGCTGAGACTGAATCAGAACCGATACTGATACTGATACTGATACTGATACTCTGGCTTGAAGCATCTGTTGATCCTCGATATGAACCGATCCCAGAGACTGAAAACAGAGCAGCTCCAGGGCCTTAAAAGTCTTTAAAAGATCTTAAATTTCATATTCTTAAATTAAGGCCTTAAAAAGTCTTAAATTCTGTTGGCAAAGTCAGATTTTTTTTCATAAAGGTTTTAAATTTCATTAGACTGTTTTCTGTTTACTCAACGATGTTAAACAGAAAGACAAAAAAAAACATAAATGAACGTCTAATCTGGACTTTATTAAAATTGGATCTGGTGTTTTTCGCTCACATAATGAGTGTGATGTTGGTTTTTACTTTTACTGAAGTGGTCTTAAAAAAGTCTTAAAAAAGTCTTTAAAAAGTCTTAAATTTGGGGTGGTCAAACTGAGGACACCTGGAAAACATCTTTTATTTCCTTTACAGTAAAATAAGACGAAGCTGATGCAAAAGTGTTACGTGTTTTATTTAAATCTAAAGTAACTTCAGACACTTTCTGTTCCGACTACGAGCAGAAAACAGTTTACATCAGTCGACTTGTAAATCATTCCAAACATCAGACTTTCCATGTCCTGGTTGGACTTGGGATCAGACGGTGGAGGTGTTTCCTGTTCTTTCTTAATCCTGTGAGGCTGTGAAAGAACCGGTGTTTATTTCTTGTTCTTTCGTGATGATTTAAGGTGATTTTTATCCTTGTGATTTCTTCTGCTCGAGAACCTGACTCCACATGTGAAAAGTGGGAAAAGTTCTAAACAAATGTGTGTGTTGTTGAGACGTAAGAGTGTGAGTGTTGTGTTCAGGTGGAACAGCAGCCTGGTGTCGGTCCAGTCCAGGAGAGACCTGTTCTGGCTCTGGAGGTTCAGCGGGAGGCGTTCGTTCTGGACGGGTCAGTGTCTCCTCGTCTCTGTGGGGTTTTATGTTCTCTTCATCTCTGCTGGAGGCACAAACACGACGCCTCGATCATGATTCCTTCTCCTTCATCTCTCCAAATTTACATCAGTCAACAAAGGTTTAAAATGACACTTGTGAGAATTTTTCCTTCACATTTGTTCCTTCTGTTCTGTTCATTTAAACGACTTTGTCCTTTGAAACAGAAAATAAAACACAGATCATCGTGGTGTAGAATTGACACTGGATTCTTTGGGATTTGATCTGGGTCCAGTCAAGTGGTAACGGAGGAAACAGGGTCAGATGTTTGACATTCAAATGTCTCTTATTCAGAAACTAGAGGAACTATTGAAATAAGTAAAGTATCAGAATGTAGGAAAGAGTTACACTCCAACAGGGTCAAGTTAAACCTGTGAGATTCTTTCAAGTTCAAGACAAAAAATTTAAAAAACTCATGTCAGGTAACGGAGGGAATGAAATATGCAGCACTTTTTTGGTCAATAAATCCAAACAGTGAAAACTCTTGGTTCTCACTTACATATCCTTAACAAACTGGTTTGAATATTTGCTTCATATAGTTTTCTACCATATGGTACAAGATTAGGTTGAAAAACCTCAGACTTTTTGACTCATGAGATTTTTTATTAAGAAAGTTCATGGTAACGGAGGGAAAAGTAACGGAGGGAAAATTGTACAAACAAGTAGAAGGTGCAGGATTTTACATCATTTGTCGCTTTTTTCTTCTGAAAACTTTAATATTACTTCAAAATGAAAGAAACTATTTCTATAAAATATGTCAGTCCTTCCAAGAACATTTTTATCATTTTAAATACTTTTATATATATTTAAAATCCTGTCCCTTCATCAACAGTTCAAAGATGGAATAACACAAGATATGATGAAATACAAACATTTATTGACATGATTTTTGGGTCTTTGAAATTTGGGAAATAATTTTTGTTCCATGTTTCATTCATGATCTGTTTAAAACAGATGGAACTTTAGAACCAAAAATGGAACAGAAAAAAGGTGAACAGTTTGATAAACTCGAGTACATATGTATCTGTTCAATACATCATTTTATTTTATTTTTATATCAGATGAATTCACTTGAGTTTTTGGTCTTGTTGTTTACTTCTGTTTGACCAGGTCCAGGTGAATTCTTCAGCTCTGATTTGAAGCGTGTGAAGGATTTTCTCTCATAACAAATTCTCCACACAGAATTATTTTTTTTGTGTCCTAAAGACAAGATCCAGACTTTTCCACAGCCGCAGGTCGTTTCTCTTCGTTATAAGTGAATCGTTTCTTTTATAAACTGCAGCTCTGAATATCACAATATCATTTACACAAGAATAATAATGAATCATTTTAGAAATAAACTCACACACAAAACAGCACAAACCAAACACACACCAACGATCTGAGGCTGTTTCAGCACAAAATAAAACTGTTCAGATCTGAAGAACCAGAATCACACAAACAAAACTTTTACATCACAAACGAAACACAAACGACTGACGGAGTTTTAGTTCTGTGTCGTTTGTGTTTGATGAAGGCGACTTCACACAGGTTTTCACTCCTGGTCTCTGTGTGTGCGCGTGCCCCCAGAGTGTGCGCGTGCCCCCAGAGTGTGCGCGTGCCCCCAGAGTGTGCGCGTGCCCCCAGAGTGTGCGCCCCCTGAGTGCGCCCCCAGAGTGTGCGCGTGCCCCAGAGTGTGCGCGTGCCCAGTGTGCGCGTGCCCAGTGTGCGCGTGCCCCAGAGTGTGCGCGTGCCCCCTGAGTGTGCGCGTGCCCCCAGAGTGTGCGCGTGCCCCCAGAGTGTGCGCGTGCCCCCAGAGTGTGCGCGTGCCCCAGAGTGTGCGCGTGCCCCAGAGTGTGCGCGTGCCCCCAGAGTGTGCGCGTGCCCCAGAGTGTGCGCGTGCCCCAGAGTGTGCGCGTGCCCCCAGAGTGTGCGCGTGCCCCAGAGTGTGCGCGTGCCCCAGTGTGCGCGTGCCCCAGAGTGTGCGCGTGCCCCAGAGTGTGCGCGTGCCCCCAGAGTGTGCGCGTGCCCCCAGAGTGTGCGCGTGCCCCCAGTGTGCGCGTGCTGAGAGTGTGCGCGTGCCCCCAGAGTGTGCGCGTGCCAGTGTGCGCGTGCCCCAGAGTGTGCGCGTGCCCCAGAGTGTGCGCGTGCCCCAGAGTGTGCGCGTGCCCCAGAGTGTGCGCGTGCCCCCAGAGTGTGCGCGTGCCCCAGAGTGTGCGCGTGCCCCCAGAGTGTGCGCGTGTGCGCGTGCCCCCAGAGTGTGCGCGTGCCCCCAGAGTGTGCGCGTGCCCAGAGTGTGCGCGTGCCCCCAGAGTGTGCGCGTGCCCCAGAGTGTGCGCGTGCCCCAGAGTGTGCGCGTGCCCCAGAGTGTGCGCGTGCGTGCCCCAGAGTGTGCGCGTGCCCCCAGAGTGTGCGCGTGCCCCAGAGTGTGCGCGTGCCCCAGAGTGTGCGCGTGCCCCCAGAGTGTGCGCGTGCCCCGCGTGCCAGAGTGTGCGCCCCCAGTGTGCCTGCCCGTGCCCCAGAGTGTGCGCGTGCCCCAGAGTGTGCGCGTGCGCGTGCCCCAGAGTGTGCGCGTGCCCCAGAGTGTGCCGCGTGCCCCAGAGTGTGCGCGTGCCCGAGTGTGCGCGTGCCCCAGAGTGTGCGCGTGCCCCCAGAGTGTGCGCGTGTGCCGAGTGTGCCGTGCCCCCAGAGTGTGCGCGTGCCCCAGAGTGTGCGCGTGCCCCCAGAGTGTGCGTGCCCCAGAGTGTGCGCGTGAGAGTGTGCGAGTGTGCGCGTGCCCCAGAGTGTGCGCGTGCCCAGAGTGTGCGCGTGCCCCACTGCGCGTGCCCCAGAGTGTGCGCGTGCCCCCAGAGTGTGCGCGTGCCCCCAGAGTGTGCGCGTGCCCCCAGAGTGTGCGCGTGCCCCCTGAGGTCTCTGTGTGACTGTGGCAGAGTGGTTTGCCTGTGACTGAGGAGGTTGTCGTTGTTTTTTGTTTCAGATTTTCCAGACGCGGTGGACAGAGACGCGGTGGACAGAGACGCGGTGGACAGAGACGCGGTGGACAGAGACGCGGTGGACAGAGACGCGGTGAACCTGTCTGGACTGAAGGGGGCGACGTCTCCTCACTGTGTCCTCATCAAAAATCCTAAAAACTGGATCCAGACGAACTGTTCCACAGACTCAGAACATCACTTTATCTGCTCCAGACCAGGTCCAGACCAGGACTGAACCAGGTCCAGACCAGGTCTAGACCAGGTCTGAACCAGGACTGAACCAGGACTGAAAATGCCTGAAAGGATCATTTCATACTTTTACTGTAAATTCAAATTTGTTTATTAATATTGTATTTTTGTCATAATAAAGAATCATAAACTTTGTTTTGTTCGACTTTGAAAACACAAATAATTCGTCTGAACAGAATTTGAAAATAAAAACCTGGGACGTCCTCGGTGTTTTGGTGGTCGCTAATAAAAGTGTGAAACCAGTGAAATGAAGGAAAGTTGTTGTGCAGAGACTGAGCGCAACAAACACCAGTCAAACACAAACACCAACACCAAACACCAGTCAAACACCAAACACCAAACACCAGTCAAACACCAAACACCAGTCAAACACCAAACAAAACCAAACACCAGTCAAACACCAAACACCAAACACCAGTCAAACACCAAACACCAAACACCAGTCAAACACCAAACACACCAGTCAAACACCAAACACCAGTCAAACACCAAACACCAAAACACCAAACACCAAACACCAAACACCAGTCAAACACCAAACACAAACACCAAACACCAAACACACCAGTCAAACACCAAACACCAAACACCAAACACCAAACACCAGTCAAACACCAAACACCAAACACCAAACACCAAACACCAAACACCAAGTCAAACACCAAACACCAGTCAAACACCAAAACACCAGTCAAACACCAAACACCAAACACCAAACACCAGTCAAACACCAAACACCAAACACCAAAACAGTCAAACACCAAACACCAGTCAAACACCAGTCAAACACCAAACACGAGTCAAACACGAGTCAGTAAAGGCACATGTTCTTTCTTTTTTTTATTAAAGACAACAGAATATAACATTTAAAAAATAAAACAAACATCAACGTTTAACAATTACAATATTCAGCATAAAACACAGACAAAAACATAAAGCAACACCCACAACACCACAACAAATACAAAAAGACATAAATAAAATAAAATTAAAAAATAAATAAAAAATATTAAATAAAAAAAATAATAAATACAGCCCCCCATTTCCCCCTGTCCACCTACGCCGACACAAAGTCAAACTAAATAAATGCAATAGTGCAACATAAATCCACCGCTCGGCTCCCGAACATCGATACACTGCGGCCAATTTTTAATTGAAGTTCCTTTTGTCTCTCTTCCTTTTCTTTTTTTTTTATAATTTTTTTTTTATTTATTAGTGCCTGTACTCAAACTAATATTTATTTTCACCATCATCAGTTCCTTTCATCATCTTTCACCGTCCGTCACAATCTCAAAACATAAACCTAAAGGCATTTCTTTTTATTTATTATTATCACTATTATTCCAACTATTATTTCCACTACCATTATCACTATTACTATTTTTATTATTATTATTATTTTATTTTTTTTTATTATTATTATTATTTTATTATTATTATTATTATTTCAACCATAACACCTATTATTGTCTCTACTATTAATTACAATAATTACAACAATGATATTTCATTATTATTATTATCATTATCATTGGTAGTTGTAGTAGTAGTAGTAGTAGTAGTAGTAGTAGTAGTAGTAGTGACTATAAATAGTAGATATATGAACAGTATGTAGATCCCTACTTTAAATCCTTATGGCCGACATCAGTTTATTTGATATATTCGTATATAAATACACAGACTCATTTTCTCCCAGGTATTTAAGAAGTTCCCATCTCTTTTTATACTTTTTTTTTCTCTTTGTCTGTTTCAGTTGTATAACCTTCCCAGGTTAAGTACTGATAAATATAATTTTTTTTAAATAGTTAATATTAAGTAAGAATAGATTTTTTGCTTTAAAAATAAAACGTTTTCCTCGGGTTATAATTAAATTGACAAGATGACTTCTGTTTTCAAAATCTCCTCGTAAGGCACATTTTCTTTGTGTTTGGGTCGTTTTTAATATTATTTTCATTGGAATAATTACACAAGTCAGTTCCAGTAAATCGTCCCGTTTGTTGATGTCGAGCAGGAGCAAGTTTCAGGTTTGGGACGATGAACTTCTGCTTTTATCCCTTTGCATGACCTGACTCCTGACATGAGCTGATTATGTTCACCTAAGGACATCATGAAGATTTCTTCTCAAATTAACAATTGCAGACACTGTAGGACGTGGGAAACAAGAAAATAAATATTTCAAATATGATTTCACAGTAAACTTCTGTGAGCAAATGAGGATCATGTTGAGAAAAACAATGGGTCATTTCAGGAAAAATGACACAAAAGGCTTCACTTTTGGTCTGGTACGTTCACATTTCATTTTATTCTGATGTAGAAGATGATGTTGTGACTTGATGTGATAATAGATCCATGTTCCTCCTGCAGCAGTCAGGAGCTCTGAGGTTTCCCACAATCCACTGCAGATCAAAGTGACTCGAGTTTCACTGAAACAGAAATGTGCTCTGGAGAAAGTTTTCGTTGGGTCTGGGCTCGTACTGGACACTGATGTAATCGTGGGTTTTGATCAGTAGAAATTCAAGTTTAAGGAGGTCGGCTGAAGAAGATCCAGAGACAGTCTCAACTAGACGACGCCAGGAAAGATTTACAGAAGTATTTGTGTTTTGGACACATTCACACTCAACTTTACATTCTTGTAATGGGGTTAGTGCGTTTACATGCAGCAAGACTCAAAAAAGTGGACGGTCCCAGAGACTCTGATGATGTAAAAACACTCATCATGAACAACGCTCCAGATCAAACAGACACGTGTCCCTCACACCGACTCTGTTCTGTCCTCGTGTCGGTCGTCGTCAGAGTCGCCAACTCCCTGAAAAATAAATAAGGGACACCTCATTGGCAGGGCCGGTGTACCGTCGATTTGAGCTACCTGTCGTTTTGAGCTACATAGCACTACTGCGCCTGCCCCAGCTTACAATCTGGCCAAAGGAGGAGATACAGACCACAGATGTGAAGACACGAAAGCTCCTGACCTGCATGGAGGGTTCCATCCCAAATATCTATCTATCTATCTATCTAACCCCCCCCAAAAAAAGGACAATATACGATCTCACAAGACTCTCAAACGAACTGAAGTTGCTTGTTTGGTTTTGCTCTGTTTACTATGTTATATCTGCCCTATTTATAACACACACACACACATTATATATATGTGTGTGTGTGTGTGTGTTAGTTTTGCTTAAACATTGAATCCAGAACAAACAGAATATAAAATAATAATAAAATTATTTTAAATAAATCATGTCTCTGTCGTCTCTGTGTGTCTGATACATGTTTGATTTGATCTCATGGGCCAAATATAATTATATCTCGAACCAAATTTGTCCCCCGGGCCTGAGTTTGACATGTCTGCTGTAGGTGGTGATGTTTGTCACAGAGTCTGGTCCAGATGTTCAGTCCAGACCAGAACAAACAGACTCAGGGACACTTGTGTCTTCGACAGTGGAGACAGAAACTCGACAGTGGAGCCGGGTTCAGGTTTTTGTGTTTTTAAGCCCCAAAAACTCCGTCACCGACTAAACCACAGGTGTCAAACATACGGCCCGGGGGCCAGATCCGGCCCTCGGCTGATTTTCTACTAAAATATTTTAATGATATTTTCTATTAAAATGGTGTTAATTTTGTGTGGTGTTTATCACAGCAGCGTCTCCAGCGTCTCTGTACGTGGCCCCTCCCACCAGAGCAGCACAAATGAAGACTTGTGAAGCTTTTGACGACCCCCGAACCACGACTTTACAACAGACGACGACCTTTACTAGACTGACCAATAGACTGACCAATAGGATTCAAGGATATGTTTTCGCCGATTTTTTCCGAAGTTAATCGAAATAGTGACGATGGTAGCTTCCGGAAAAAACACAACACGAAACACGAGCAATGGAAAGATGGCGGCGCTGCGGCGCACAGTTTTAGAAATAATGAGGAGCGGACGTGTTTTATGGATAAGTTTAGAGAAAGTGACTTTTATAGATTTCAAAGTGATGATGTTGAAGTTGATTATAAAGTGGAAAACAGCGACAGCGACGGACTTTCGGGGAGAAGGTGAGAATGCCGCTGATGCGTCTGTGTGGAGTCCTGCGATGTCCCAACAAACTATCTGAGCTTTATACTCGATTATGAACCAAAATTACCCTGAAATCTGGATGTTGCTCAGACGAGTCCTTTAAAATATTTCAGTCTTTTTTTCCAAGATGCGATGTATAACAGAATCACTACAGAAACAAACACTTATGTGGAGCTCTGCACATGAGAAAGTGCCCAAGATGATAAATACTGAACTCACACTGACGGGGAAGAGTTTTATTATTATATTATCATATTATAATAAGATAAATGAGTTGAATAAATAAAATGAGTTGAATAAGCTAAATGGAAAAAATTAATCAGGTGCACACAGGTGAACAGGTAAAAACAGGTGCACACTTGGCTCTACTGTATCTGGTGATATGAAATCTGTTTAAATACTTTGACAAAGTATATTTTTTATTTTTTTATGAATATATTACTCTGAACATGTATATATCAAATGCTGAACGTAGTTTTTTGTTTTCGAGCTTGCACCTGACCAGGTAAACTCTCATTTTCAGTGAGCTGTTATAAACCTGTAAATGAATGAATCACATTTAAACATCCAGAAGAAGAGTTCAGAGTCTGAGGTTTACAGAGATACAAATATGTCTGTGTTACAATTAAGTTCATGAGTGTAAAAATCATTTATAATCACTGGTGGAAGTCTGTTTTCTTTTAAGCAATTATGCTCTATGGGCAGAACTAGTAACACATGTATGGGTTGTTCCTAGTCGGGGTCCAGGGGGGAAAGAGTTAAAGGACGATCGTTTTGACTGTTGACCGTGACACCCTCATCAGAAAAATGTCCAACATGAGAAAAGTGGAGCCGAGTGCAGGATTTTACAACAAAAATTGACTTATTCCTGTTTACAGACAAGTTCATGTTCAAACTTTGTGTTGAAATTGTATTTTTCTTAAAGTTTCAGGTTGTTCATAATATTATAATATTTTGTAAAAGAAAGAGTTCATCAATTTAAAAAGATTTGTGTAATAGATTTGTGTTTCTCTGCACAAATATTTGAACTTATTGTTATTTTTGGGGTTTATATGACATGAGTTTTCTGATCCAGGACACTTTGGATCAAAGTCGGTTGGACACGACGCCAGGAAACAAAATGAGTTTGACACCCTGAGTTAA